ATAGTAGATTTCATAAATACTTATTGGATGACTAAATACATGGCTCAAATTTCTTTTCTTCATTTTAGAATCAACAGGCTGATTAAAGAACTGTAATGTGGCTCTTTTCTACAGTATTTCTTTATGGTTTAATTGTAAGAAATAATTTCATTTTGATTTCTCTCTTGCTTCTGCCCTTCTCTGTTTGTTTTTGCTATTTATAGAAATCTAGTATCTTAGTGAAATTACTAGTGTTTCCATTCTAGTTAAAAGTGGTGATTTTATAGGGTATCCCTCCAAAATGTGTATACACTGTAACAGCTGATAGCTCAATTTTGAAAATGAAATGTATTTTAATAAACACTACCTTTATAGTTACTAAAAGTATGTATATATATTTTTTGGGGACACTCTATATATTGGCCCACTGAAAAAACATGTAGCTGAGAATACTTTAGTTTCTTAGATTGCTGAGCATCAAAAAAGTATTTTGTCTTTAAATTAATCTGAAGAAAATGTCTAGATCATTATTGTAGTTCTGATTTCTTCATTGAATAGAGGGATTGATTCCCTTTAACACCTTTTGCTTCTCCCTATACTATTCTCTGTTCTTGTTTCTAAGTCTTATGTACCTCAGTGATTTTTGGCTTGTAAATTGCAGTCTTATTATCAACAGAGCAAGATTTTTTTGCAAGGAAGACTTTTAGACTTGCCTATTCTAGATATATGTTTAAAAAGTTCATGTATTAATAGTTTTGCCAGCTGAAAATTGATGTTACTATCTTATTTCTAAAAATAAAATTTAAATGATCAAATGAAAAATAAAGTCAAATCTAAGGATTTAAATATGCTTTTTAAAGATAGAAGTAAAAATTATAAAGCTATATGAATTTCATTTTTAAGTAGTTTTAAAAGAATCAACTAAGTAATTCTTTTGTTTATTGAAGCCTGATTTTGGCTAGACATGTAGAAAATAGTTCATAAGGATTTTTGAGTGCCCTTTTACATGTGGGCTTATTGTTTTTGTGCCATTTGTTGGTGGTGTGGATGAATTTCTCTGTTTGATTAAGAAAATACATGTGCATGTGTCAATTGAGTGAGGATAGTCAGTGAAGCCTAGAACTCGTTGGTTCTAGCAAGTGAGTATATCATGTGAAATTCTATAAAATGCTAAAAAAGATACTTGAAAACACGAATCTTTTGCCATTTTAATTAAGAATTTTGGTAAGTATTTTTTTATTAACAAAAGTAAATGACCTTGGATCATGTGGCCTAATTTGACTTTCAACACAATGTACTCTCAATATTCTCTTAAATGATGTTAGATAATAATGAACATATAGAAAAATGTAAGTGTCTTTTCCTCCCAAGAAGTTTGTAATCTTAAGAGATGGGGCATCTGTACTAATAATAGGGTAATATGCAAATTGGTCAGGACGCCATCACAGTAACAACCGATCAGCAGGCTGCGTGTGCAGCAGGTGTGGGTGGGCGGAGACTTGAAGCGTTGGGGACGGGGGCAGGGCAGAGCGAGTCAGAGAGGCCTCTCTGCCACAGCCCTGGCCAGGGGTCCGCAGGTGCGTGGAAAGGCCCCTCCACCACTGGCTCGGCTGGGGGTCTGCAGGCACATGGAGGCCCACTGTCCTCTGCTGCAGCCCAGCCCAAGGGCAGGGCCATGGCAGGGGCCTCCATGCACCTGCGCCAGGGGTCTGCAGGCCTCCGCCATGGCCCAGCCCGGGTGTCCGCAGGTGTCCCCCTGCTCCAGCCTACCTCTTTGGGGCAATCCATTGAGGAGCCCCAGGTGGATGGGCGGGGCCTACCTCTTTGGGGTGATGGATCGTGGGGCTCCCGCATTGTGACAGGGCACAGACCAGTCTGGGGGACCCCCCCACCCACCTCAAGAGCATGAATTTTGTGCACTGGGCCACTGGTAGTAAATAATGGCTGAATAACATGGAAGAATAAGCTTTGTATCCACTTCTGCTGTATTATGTGATGGACTGTGATTGCCCATAGGGAAAGACTATGTATGTCTTAGCCACTGTCTCTTTCCTATCTGGTAGACAGGTCCCTAGTGAGTGCTTGCTAAATAAATAAAAGAATATAAACAGCACAGATAAGATTTTCTGAAGGCCATCCAATATAGGAAAAGACAAATACAAGAATTTTCTCTTCTTTGAAGTGTTTATATTTGTAAAGGGGATTTTAAAAACTCCCAATATACTTAATTGTTGTTGTTAAATTTCAATTCATTCAAAGTCTGATTAAAAATTAAAGTGAACCCTGGCCAGTGTGGTTAGAGCATCGGCTATGAAACAAAGAGTTGAGGGTTGGATTCCCAGTCAAGAGCATGTAACTGGGTTGCAAATTCGATCCCAGCCCTGGGGGGACACGTGAAGGAGACAACTAATCAATGTGTCTCTCTTACATCGATGCTTCTCTCTCTCTTTCTCCCTCCCTCTCTCTCTAAAGACCAATGGAAAAAATATCCCCGGGTATTAACAACAACAAAAACAAAAATTAAAGTGAAATAGGGGCCCTGAGGTACCTCTAGGTCAGTGGTTCTCAACCTTCCTAATGCCGCGACCCTTTAATACAGTTTCTCATGTTGTGGTGACCCCCAATTTCATTGTTACAAATTGAACATAATTAAAGCATAGTGATTAATCACAAAAACAATATGTAATTATTTATGTATTTTCCGATGGTCTTAGGCGACCCTTGTGAAAGAGTCGTTCGACCCCTAAAGGGGTCGCGACCCACACACAGGCTGAGAACCGCTGCTCTAGGTTAATAAACATTGTCTGGAGGAAATCTGCCTTTGGATTTAGCTTGATCTATCCCACCTCCCTTCAGATTTCCCTTTCCCCTCTCCTTATGTACTTATATGATGTCTGAAAGGTAAAGCATTTCTCCCACAGCTCTTACTCTCTACTATGGTAGAAAAGGCCACATTTCTGTGTCCAATTGTCAGGGTTTGAGAGACCATGGGAGATAGACTTAGAAGGAGACTGGCAGAAATTTATATTCATAGGATGTGAGCTAACAGTCTGTATTGCCTGAGAATCCCACATTTTAAATGCAGAATATTTTGAGGGGGAACATACTGTTCTGATTAGGATCACTAGATTAGAAATCCCATGAAGGCAGAAATTTTGGTCTGTTTAGTTCACTGCTGTATTCCTAGCATTTAGAGTCTGGCATATTTTAGGTACTGAGTGGGTATTTGTTGAATGGATGAATAAATGAATGAGCATGAGCTGAAGTCAGACAAGTACCCAAACTCTCTCTGAACACCTTGTGTATTCCTTTGACAGATATTTATCAGGGACCATCTGTGTATGATAGGGAAGTATGATGATGACCATGACAAAGTCCCTGACCTTATTTTGTTGGTTCTTTCAATCCTTATATCCTCATATATATAAAGTGAGGTGGATATTATTGATGTGAAGATTAAATGACAGATACGGTGTAGGACCTGGCACATGTAAATGGTAGCTGTTACTTTCTTCTACATATTTATTTTCTAACTTACTATCATCTCTTACTTAAGCTCCTTAAGGATGTCATGGTTTTTTGTATCTGCAAAAACATCAGTGGTTCTTAAAGTAGTATATATGGTTTGCTTTGCAAACTGTAAAACACATGTTAAACATTAGGTATTACTAATGAATGATAACATAAATGAACTTTATTGTGCTGTTGTACAATTTCTGGTGCTGTCTTTATATTGAAGTATTTTATAAAATCTAATTAGTGCCTGTTATATCTACAAAGGCAACTTTGAATTCTTAAATTTTCCAAGAGTAAGGCAATGCCATAAAGCAGAAAATGCCTTTAAAGAAGCATCAGGTTTAATGTAGCCATAATTGCTCAACTAGATACTTTCATCTTTCTAAACATCATCCTGGAAGAAAGTAAAAATTCCTTGAATGCTGGTGATAGCAGTCTCTATGTGATTAAGAAACTTTTATTTGTCATGGATATCACATCTTTTTCACTGAGTAACTATATCACCATTATCTATTCAAAATATTTAATACAAAATGACAAGATACAATTATCTGTAGATGCAACTAGTTCTTGTATTTCAAAGTTTCACTAGTATCCAAAGGGATGTATGGCAATTTTGATGTTCAGCTGAATAACTTGTAAGAAATGTTATATGGTAATGAGTCTTATCTTTTTGAAAATCTTATTTTTCTGTTTCTCCCTTCTAATCTGTAGGCAAAGAACAAAAACTAACAAATGATAATATAAATGAAGAGAATTATGAAGTAAATTAAGTTAGTTAAGTTATTTTTGTTTGTTTTAAATAAATTTTCCATGCTCTAGGCAGTTTAAAGCCATTGTTGATAGTCCTATTATAAGTAATTAATGAAGAATTTAAGGAGGCAGTATACACTTGGTGGCTAGAGGCTATCAGTGTAGCAATAAAGCTATGGAATGTTTGTTTAAGCTGTTCTCATCATTTTTGGATGGTAGTTACCAGATCCCAACAGTGACTTGCATTGGGCTTTGTAAACATAGGGACCACACTCTGTTGCAATATGATTTGAAACCCTCCAGGAACTTTCCACTTCCCAAAGCAAGCCTAAATTCCACTGCCTGACTTTGAAGGTTCTCCATAATTTAGTTTTGCTTTACTTATTTAACCACATTTTCTACATTTCCCATTATCAACTCCTAGCTCTTGTCAAGATACTATCTCCAGTCTCTCCTCTCCTCTCTCTCCCTTCCCCCCTCTCACAACCACCCCCCCCCCCCCCCCCCTTCTCTACTATCCACATCCTACTTTCCTTTAAGGTTGAGTTTTGGTCCTTCCTTATCTGGGAAGTATTTTCTTGGTCTGTATGACTGTCCCCTCTTCTGAAATGCTGACAGGACTGACCAGCTTTAGCACTTAATGAAATACTACCTTTGGTATTAAATTGTGTGTCATGATCTTATTTCCTGAAATACATTTTAAACTTCATGGTAACAAGTTCATGCATTCTCTCTCTCTTTTTTTACCATAGTACTGAGCTAAGGGGAAGTTCAATAAATATTCATCAACTTTTTACCATCCAGTCAATCAGTAAAAGCATAGTTTCTTTAGAACATGGATACGGCGGGATCTTTTGATTAGCTTTTGGTATGTATCAATTAAATATAATAAAACTGGTTTCTATCAGAGAAAACCTAAGGCAAGAGGTGTTGACATACTTTTTAGTTAACAGTAACTGAAATAGATTCAAATGATTTAAAAATTGATTGAGAAATTATGAAAAATTAAAGACCTAAAATTTTAACTATTTTGTATTATAGATCTTCATATTATGAATAGCACTTAACGTTTAGTTCCAAGATTTGTGCAGTACGAAAATATACTTAACATGTATCATTTATAATTACTACATATCTGTATTTTAAGTATATGTTACAATACTAACCCTGCTTTCTACTTCTCCTTTTCATCTCTCATGTTATAGTTTTGCTACTTCTAGTTTTTTGGTGCCACTGAGTTTATAATCTTAGATAAGTGCCAGGGAGTTATGAAGATGATTGTAGGAAGAATCCCATTTTAAGGATCGTCACATGGAGCACCAGAAATTGTTTGGAAACTTATGTAAAACTAGTGGCCCGGTGCACGAAATTTGTGCAGGCGGGGGGGGGGGGGTGTCCCTCAGCCCGGCCTGCACCCTCTCCAATCTGGGACCCCTCGGGGGATGATCCCCTGTGAGATCAGGCCTAAACCGGCAGTCAGACGTCCCTCTCACAATCCGGGTCGGCTGGCTCCTAACCACTTGCCTGCCTGCCTGCCTGCCTGATTGCCCCTAACCGCTCTGCCTGCGAGCCTGATTGCCCCCTAATCGTTCCCCTGCTGGCCTGATTGACACCTAACTGCCCCTCTGCTGGCCCAATCGCCCCCAACTGCCCTCCCCTGCTGGCCCAATCTCCCACAACTGCCCTTCCCTGTCGGCCTGATCGCCCACAACTGCCCTCCCCTGCCATGGCCGGCCTCCTCCACACAGCGCGGAGCCACAGGACCCCCAGACCTCACTGTGCAGACCGGCCACTGGGCCCAGCCTTCGCTGTGCACGGCCATCTTGTGGCGACATCATGTGCGAGGGCCACCTAGGCTTTTATTAGTATAGATAGTTTATTTATTTATTTACTTTATTTTATTTTATTTAGATATCAATGTGAAAAAGAAACATCCATGTGAGAGAGAAATATTGATTGGTTGCCTCCTGCCCTGACTGGGATTGAACCCACCACCTTTTGGTGTGTGGGACCATGCTTCAACCAACTGAGGCCACACCAGCCAGGACGATAGTTTATTATTTAAAGAAGAAAAGGGTTGCACTCTGAAAATAGTAGGTCATTCTCACATATGGGGAGCCAGTAGTTTTGTGCACAAGGAATGTTAAAGTCTATCCAGTTTGTTGGTAACTTGGGAAAAGGTGAAAATGTTTTGCTTCTCTGGAGTTTACATCCTTAAGTCTGGTCCCACTATGATTTGGAAGTGAACCCTATGATCACAGATACAAAAGATTGTGATCATCCATGAATACATGGAGAAATCTGGATTGAACATGGCAATGAGCATAGACAGAAACCTGGGGAAAAGGGCACTACATATAGGGTTCTAGGGGGAACTGGGGCAAGGCTGACTTTGGCTTCTTTAATACTGGGGTGGGGTAGGGGGCCATGAGAGACCATAAAATACAGAAATGCTATAATACCTGATTTTGAGATGGAAGTGAAGAGTATTAAAATTGTGACACTTGTAAGCTTGTTCTAAAGAAGATTCCTGTCCACTTTTACAGCCCAGATGTTCAGATATCCTGTTTTCAAATCTGACTGGCCATGTTTTTCTCATACCTTTTACAACATCATGAAGAGCCTCTTAAGCCCTGTTAATGGATTTGAAGTTTTTCCTATAGGTAACGGAAGTCACTGATTAGTTTTAAGTAGAGGAGTGAGTTTATTGTATTTTCATTTTTGGTAAATTACTCTTCCTGGAGGGTGAAGAACCACTGGAGGGGAGCTAGAGTAAAATTAGTAAGGACCCATCATCAATTGAATACATGGAACAGCAACTATCACCTAATAATGTAAATCCATGGCCATTAAGCTGTTTATATGATTTTTATATTTTGCTTTCAGCTTATGGTGTGTTTCTTTGTAAGAAGGGTAATTCTTATGACGTAATAGAGTTTCTTCTAGAAAAGTATTGTGTAATATGGGAGTTGGGGGAGTTATGTTATGTAGCAAAATCTCCTAGGGGACTTGAACAACATATCTCTAGCTTTTCCCCTTCAATTTGGGCCAGAGTGAAACACTATTACTAATGAGAATCTGCTATGTTCTCAGATGGGGGAAATCATTGCACTAGAGCAGTGATTTTCAACCTTTTTCATTTCATGGCATACATAATTACTAAAATCCTGTAGCACACCAAAAAAAAAATATTTTTACCAATCTGACAAAAAGACATTATTTTGATTCATTCACAACAGATAGCTGTTGTTGTGTTGGCTGTTGTCATTTTTTTTATTTGACAGTCTGAGAGAAAAGAGGTCAATGCCTCTGACTAAATAGTCAGGTATTGCATGGTTTAAAAATTATTATTGCACACCAGTTGAAAACCACTGCACTAGAGCATATCTTCTAAGAAAATGAAAATATTCAATAGGGAAATAACCATAGAAATGAAACAGTTTCCTTCTAGGTTGATTCTTGTATGTTATAGAGAGAAACTTTTTAAATACCCATATAGGTTTTGTTGATAAGCATATTTTAGCATGTCTGTATTTCCTTTATAGGCGTGTTTTTGGTTTAGGATGATAGAGAGAAGAAAGTTTCTTCAGTCAATTTATTTGCAAAATAAAAAGCACCAATTAATAACATTGTGAAAATTATCATTTTCAACCTTTTCAGAAAGAAGTTGAACTTTTTTTCATGGCCGAAATTAAAGCAGTATCTGCTTACCATTCAATATTTCTCTTTGGTTTTAAATTCTTTAGTTTTTCAGAACATGCTCAAAAGAAGAGTTAATCTTGAGACCACAGGTATAGACAGGTCTAGGTATGTGATCTGTTTGGCTGTTCTGCAAGTGCTATAAATGCTACCAGAGTGTAATCTGACACCAGGTAGGCCCAAGTGGCCAATGATGGAAAGTGGAGAACAATGTGAAAGAACTGGAATTTCAGGTCTGCCCTCTGAGTCCTGGAACTGTTCATCCGGGAGTCAGCATAAAGGTGAAAGCATAGAGAGAAGTTCGGTTTGATCATATTGACTTTGTGGTGTTTTTGTTGTTGTTGTTTTACTCTAAAATGGTTGAAATAAGGTGAGCTTATTCAGGTTTCCAAGACCTGCTTCAGTTTTGCATATGTCACCAGAAGCCTAACTGAGACTTCCTATTTAAAAAACATAAATTTGTGCTTCATTCACACAAAAATAAAACTGCCTTTGAAAAAGTTCTAGATACTTAACTTCCCCTTACCTGCCCCCCACACTTGCAATGAAAGATGCCTAAAGCAGAATAGTTACTTAAAATATATTGGTGGTAATATATAGTACTCATATGGATTCCAAGAACACATTTTAAAACATTTAAATTTTTTTCTTAAATTCCTTGAATATTTAAAATAATTTTAATTTAAAGTTTGGAGTATAGAAACATTTTCTTTTTGAATTAAGTTATGATTTGTTTCTCTAGTGACATTAACTTGTATTTCCCCGTTCTATTTTGTGTATAGAGCACATGATCTAGAGAGGGCTATATAGTGAGATTTATTTTACAACTGGTTTCTTTTTTTGTTTGTTTCCTTAGTAGGAACTGAGAGACTATCGTTTTGGGGGAAGTTCAAATCTGATTTCATAACTAACCACATTTTGGTATGGCTGTCTTTTTTTTCCATATCCACAAATTTTTAAATGTAAGTGACAGTAATGTGTATTTAAAGAACTAGCAAGAAAAATGTCACTAGAATTTTAAAGTATTTTGAAGAGTTACTAAGTTGGGGTAGTTTTATAAAAAGGCTTAGTAATGTTTCCTTTCCTTTTAGGCTGAGTGAATGTAAAGCAAGATGGTTTGATATGATAATACTTGGGAAAGAAACAATAATAGTAAAACGTTAAGATTTAAATCAATAGTAGAAAAATCTACAAACTCCTTCAGTTGTTTCAGGTAAAAATATGATTGAAAATGATTTAACGGAAATCAAGAGGTTGCATGAAATATAGAGACCATTGCTATATATATTTGTGTAAGGGAATTCTTATTTTTCCAGATATTCTGCAAAAGAAAAATACTAACAAATTCTATTAATGTAGAGAAAGGGGCATGACTAGGAATTAAAACCTCTATTGCTTTTGTTGCCATTACCTGTCTGTTTGACCTTGGGTAAGTCAGAATGCTCTAGCCCAAATAAATTAGCTGTTCAATGAATGCATTGTTCTAAGTAATTCTTAGATCTTTTCCAGCTCTAAAAGTGTATGATTCTATACTTTTAGAATAGACCGGCTCTTGGAAGACTGTACAGAATTTATTTTGATACCACTTATTTATTATTTTCATTTTTGCTGAGAGCTAATATAAAGCATTCTACCATGTTAGAAAATAAACAAAAAGGCCTAACTATGGTCTATTATAGAAGAATTCCAGGCATTACAGTTTATAGTTTGCTTCTTATTTTCATAGCTTCTTTTCTCTCACTTTTCTTATTCTACTTTTCTTTAATTTCTGTTGCATTTCTTAAAATTAATGTTTTTTTCCAAATATACCTACTTATAATAGGTATAACTATATGGTGATAAGGATTATTTATTAGATTACCACTTAATGTAAAAATACTTTCTGTTCAGGTACTTGGCATCTGGGGTTATTACAGAATTCCAGTTTTCTAGATACTTCCAAATAAATAAACAAACACACACACACACACACACACACACACACACACACACATACACACACACACTATCTGAATGCTTTATGAGAGGAAGTCATTCAAATTAAAGGTAGTCATTCCTTTCCTCTAAACTAGTGAATTTTACCTTCTTTGGACCATAATTGTCTTAAATAAAACTCTTTTGCTTTTTTTGTTTATTTGATTGGTTCTTTTTATTTATCAGTTTTTATATTGAGTATAATGAGTTGGTGGCCTAGTTGCTTCCAAAGGGTAGCAGTGATTTTTAATATAGTTATTAATTAATGGGTTTTTAGACCTTGGCCTGTGTTTAAAACCCTTTTGCAGAAAACCTAAATCTGCATTCAGTCAGGGATTAAGAAGACAAGTGTTTGAAGTATTAACAACTGATTTTGACAATCATATATTTTTATTTATTTATTTATTTGTTTGTTTATTTATTTTTAATGTATTTTTTAGTTGATTTTGGAGAAGAAGGGAGAGGGAGAGAGAGATAGAAACATCAGTGATGAGAGGGAATCATTGATTGTTTGCCTCCTGCACGCGCTCTACTGGGGATGGAGCCTGCAACCTGGGCATGTGCTCTTGACTGGAATTGAACCTGAGACCTTTCAGTCCACAGGCTGAGGCTCTATCCACTGAGCCAAACCAGCTAGGGCTGGTCATATGTTTTTTATAATGCCTGAAATCTTTTATAATACATTAAATACAAATTAAATATTTGATTGGTTGTAGTAGCTAATGTGGCTCAAGGTTTTGTGTTTACAAACCAGTAAATTCATTTTGTTTGGAACAGACATAATGGAACTCTTGTGTTAAGAGAAGCTTGCCAGACAGGGTGGGGTCTTAGCCCTGAAGCATCTGGGTTTATCAAATAGTTGTCAAATTTTTTAGGCACTGGAATAGAATTATACTTTTGTTGGTAATGGGCTCTGGAGTTCTTTGTTGGAGTCTGGCAAATAGCTGTGGTAAAGAAGACTCCCAGAAAGTGTGGAAATGAAACTTAAGGAATAATTAGTTACCTGGAATGCACCTGTTACATCTCTTGCACTATACTTAGACTATAATGAAGCTAATGTTTGAGTGAAATTTATATGCCTGGCATTCTGCACATGCATTTTGCATTTTATCTTTTCAATTCTAGATTTTGGTGTTATCTATTATACCCATTTTACAAAGTGAGGCAACTGTGGCTCATGTCTATTTTGCAAAAGAGATCGACATTAACTTACTTGTCTAAGGTCACAGTGCAGAAGTTTCAAACCCAAGTTGTCTGACTATAGAGCTTAAACTCTTGATTTGCTTGCTTTACTATTTTACCTTAAATCTGAAGCTTTTTTGGGAGATAGGAAGTTAGGAAACTTATTGCTGAGACATTCCTTTGGCATATCTCCTTGAAGAATAAGAATATGGTCCTGACCTAGTTAAAAGTCAGAGAGACAGATAGGGAAGTTTTTATTACTTGATAGATGCCCAACTAGATGACCTCGCAAAACTTTGCAAATAAGTTAACTGTTTATGTCTCTTGAATGAACAATTTTCACTTATATTTTTTCTTACTTTTTGAAGACTAAGTGACCCTTTGAAAATGAAATGTGTTTGAAAACTATTAACACAGCAGAGTGTTCACAGATATACTGTATATAGCTAGTGGTTAGTAAATTAAAGCAAATTTTAAATTTACTGAAGACCTTATAATTTGTAGAGTAAAGCAGAGGCCTTTATTTCTCCTCATTTTGAATATCCATGTATATTCATACAAGAGCAATTTTAAGGAATGAAATTATAAATTCAGTTTGGACATGTTTTAGACACATTGACTTTGAGGGGACACTGAGGTGGATTTATCTAATAGACCACTCAGAGAGTGGATTTGGAGATCAGGAGCTGAACTTGAGATGGAATTTTATATTTTCCCCATTTTATATCTGTATGTACTTAGAAATCTGTGTTCTAAACTACTAAGCATAAAAGATTTGGGTAGATTAGAGGCAAGGCTTTATATTGTAGTCATGGACAGAGTCCTGATTTAGGGGATGAGGATTCTAGTTGTAGTTCTATTGTGCTTTCAAACTGGGACTTTGGGCACAGAGACTCAGTTTACTCATGAAAACTTGAATTATTGATCTGGATTTTCACTCTTATCTATTACCAAAAACATTTTAATCCACAGGGCCTTTGTTATTTTTAAGAGCTTTGTTATTTAAGTACCTGTATTATGTATAGGTGATACCCCTGGATCAGGAATTAGAAAATTTCTTCTGAAAAACCACCTTTGGTGTAGGTTAAATAACTATTCAGAGAAGAGGAAGAGCAAAAAGGGGAGTGAAAAAAGAGGATCAGAGGCCTAATTAAGCCAATAAAATAGTTGAAGAGCTTTTCTTTACTGACATATTTTCAGTTTATAAACTTTTATATTTAAACTAGAGGCCCAGTGCACGAAATTTGTGCATGGGGGAGGAGTATCCCTCCGTCTGGCCTGAACCCTCTCAAAATCCTGGACCCCTCGGGGGATGTCTGACTGCCGGTTTAGGCCCGATCTCACAGGGATTCGGGATCGGGCCTAAATCGGCAGTCAGACATCCCTCTCACAATTTGTGACCACTGGCTCCTAACTGCTGGCCTGCCTGCCTGCCTGATTGCCCCTAACCACTTGCCTGCCTGCCTGATGCCCCTAACCACTTGCCTGCCTGCCTGCTTGACCACCTCTAACTGCCTCTGCCTGTTTGCCTGATCGCCCCTAACCACTTTGCCTGCCTGCCTGATCACCCCTAACTTCTTGCCTGCCTCCTGATCACCCCTAACCGCCTCTGCTTCAGCCCCTGCCACTGCAGCTTCATCCGGAAGGATGTCCAGAATGACATCTGGGATGTCATTTGGCTGTCTGGTCTAATTAACATATTACGGTTTTTTTATTCTAGATGAACAAAAGCTACCGACCAGAGTAAAGGTGTCTCTATCCTAACATGGCTTAATGAAAATGGGCAGTCCATTTCAATTTTAGTTTATTGCTGTCCATTGTTAGTGTGTACTGTAAGGTGTATGTTGAGTGCTTATCCTTATTTTAGAGATTTTTAAAAAACGTTAAAGGATAGTAGCAGTTTGGAAGTGCTAGCAAGAAAAAGTACGTATTGCAGTAGAAAAGAAAGTGAAACTTAACTTTACATAGATGTATTCATATTAGTCATTGGTACAGTGTCACTTTGTATTTGTGAACAAATGGATTTTGGAATTTAACCTTTTACAGAGAAACTTTTTTATTGGGATAATGGTTTCCTTATTATCAAAGATACTGCAGTCATTGTTTATAAGGAATATATATAGAAATAGCTTAAATATCTAGTGATTGATTTTTAAAACAGTATCTGTCATTAATATAATTCTGTTATTACTATGGGCACACAATTTGGTAGGTACAGAAAAAATTTTAGACAGTGCTTACTTACCCAGAGAATCAAGAGAAGTTTTTCTTTAATTATCTTGGTATCTGGGACATTGCTTTGCAAATAGTAGGCACTCGAACATTTATTCAGTTTAACTAGGGGGATGTAATTTTCAAATGTGAGACAATGTACAAGTTAATGTTAATTTTGTGACGGGCAGTTAAGTGCTGTATTTTTGAAGGTCTATATCAGTCAAGACAGAGGTTAGGAAGCTTTGTGAAAGAAATGGTACTTCATTTAAGCATTGAAGAATGGAAGATTTGAATGGTTGCTGAGAAATGGGTGAGGCATTCCTGGAATGGAAATATCAGAAGTTGAGAAGGAAGGCAAGAAATACTGTAGTTTCTATGTGGAGGACCATCCGGAGGGGCACGCCTAGTATAGAAGAATTGGGTTAGGTGGTGATTTAAAGGAAAAGATTATAAGTAATGTTTGTCTAAGATCAAATGTATGTGTTATGTGTGTATGTCTGTCTATGATCAATTTAGGTCAAAGCACTTTTTTTTTCTCTTTTAGATATGGTGCATTATTCAAAAACTACCCGGATGTGCTAAGAATACCTAATGTTGGAGCTAATTCATTATTGAAAGGGGTGGGATGGGTGAATGTGTAAAACTGCTGGGCTAGAATTCAGTTTAGTCAGTAGAAATACCACCTGAATTGAATTATTAACCCTTATTTTATTTTAATACCTAGTTAGGGACAACACAGTCATCTATGATGACCTCTAGAATCCAGAATATATAGGGAATTGACTTTACTGAAATTAGGAAACTGAATATATGATTTGGCTAGCACATGCTAGCTGGATTTAAGTTTTCAGGGAAACTCATTCAGCAGCTCAGTTTCATTCCTGAACTTGTCTCTTTAAAATTAAATTGTAAATGCTGTTTCAAAGAATTAGATGTTATTTAATGTGATATATTTTTATATCTTTGTCTTTTCATTTTCATTTATGGCTATAAGCATATGATACAATATTTAATAACATTAAGATAAACTTTTAAAATTTTCCTTTTACTTTTGTTAGTAGTGATAATTTTTTTTAAAAGCAGACAAACATCTTTGGACAGTACTTTTTAAGTATTTCTCCCTCCACTGTGAAATTGTTTTCACTCTTAAGTTGTGCTTCTGTTTTTCTACTATTGTAAAGTGCAGTTCTTTGCATGTTCTAATTTGCCATGACGTGGTCAAGTGCTGTTTCCTTCCTGTTGCTTGCAACCCTGTGCTAGAGATAAGGATACATTTCAGTGCATTAAAAAAGAAGCCACTGAAGACAGGCTTAAGCATGGTAAAGCATTCTACTTATCAGAAACCTTTTTAAAGAACAGAGAGTGGGCTTTAATTTCTGCTTAGTTTTTTAAAAGCTCTTAAAATAGTACTTACTAAACTTTAAATGTATTAGAAAGATTTTTAAGTCCTTATATATTAGATCTAATAGAGACACTGTCTGAATGTTTCTATTAAGGCAAAAATAATACATTATGAAATTACTCATGGAGTAGCATTTCCAATGTAGGTAGTTTGCTGGCTTAGTGGAAAGAAGAAAATTGTTTATATGCCCTTTATTGTAATTATAAACCTAGTTGTTGTTAGGTGGATATATGTATATTTTTAAATATTTGGTACTTTAACAGTAGTTTAACTTGGGGGTGGAGAGAGTGGCTTTATTTTCAGTAATGAGAGGTGATTTTATCTTAGCAGGAATGAAATCTTCAAAGAAATTATGTACCTAACTTAAAAAAAAAAAGTGTGTTCATTAGTCATGTTGATTTTGTTTAAAAATATTACCAAAAATACTTTGGAGACACTGCCCTTGGTATCAGTTATTATATTCTAAGTGGATATGATTTCGTAACTAACTTAAACTTTTGTTTTTCAGGCCAAGAAGTTCTGGAGAAGAAAAATTTCAGAAAAATTGCCTCAGTTTGAATAGCATACCAGAAAATTTGAAACACTTTTCCTAAAGAAACCAAGAAAATTTGAAGCTCCTTTCCTAAAGAAAACCTGTGATACAGTAACTTCACAGACTTAGTTTTTTTTTGTTTTTTTGGTTTTTTTTAACCCAAATTGTCACTGGATTCTACTGCCTGATACTTGAACCTGTTTGGAATTTTTCTCATGTGCATCTAAGGGGAATGCTTTATTATGGCTGCTGTTGTCCAACAGAACGACCTAGTATTTGAGTTTGCTAGTAACGTCATGGAGGATGAACAACAGGTATGAGACCCAGAAAAAAATTTGGATTTTAATAAATTTATTATTGTGATTTCTCCATTTATATCAGAAATTATTTACTTTAAATGAAAGTATGAGAAACTTTATTAATATAGAAATCTAGATATTAAAAATATGGAAGTAATTGTGATCTTATATTTTAAGTACTAGTTAATTTGTTAATGAATCTTAACCTTAACTGTGATGTGGTTACAAGGAAGTAATACTTCTGGAGTTAAGCTTGTTTTTTTGTAAAATGAAATTTAAATACCTTAAGTAATTATTTGAAAAGTTCTAGAAGACATATTAACAAAACATGTAAAATGTTTAATAGTACATGATGGATTGTAATAGTTGCTTGCAGTTATGTAATTTTAGTGTATATGGTTAATTAATATTTATAACCCTAGGCTATTTTTTCAAGCTGATGAAAAGATGTTAGCAGTCCTATAATCATATGTTATTTCAGTCCAAAGCATGTGTCTCTGAAGAAGTTACTTTACTTCTCGAGATCTAGATTTCATCATCTTTTGAGTGAAGGGATTGAACTGAAGAATTTCTAAATTGGTTCTTATTGAATTTATACAAGATAAACAAATTACTGTTTCTAGAATGTAAGAAGGATCCAGGAGATATTATGAAAAGGATCTAAGTTAATTCTAGCCTTCCTTTTTTGGGTGGGGGCAGTCTAGGGGTTCTTGGGACTTTATAATTTACTTCATTTTAAACAGGTTATATGGCCATGATGTGGGAGAAATGGTGTAAAAGAGACTCAATGTACTGAGAAAAATATTTTGAGGACTGGTAGGTTTAAAATATGCCTAATGAAGTTGATTTATATACTGAAATAAACCTGATTTCAAATACTTAACTTTAATCAACTAAAATATATCATGTTTTTATTCTAGAAGCAGAGTTACTACAGGTAATAAGATAAATTTTTTACTTTTGGCAGGGCATTATACTTTCTTAGCTGTTTGTATTGTGTATTGAAATGACAGAATTTAAAAAATTATAAATAAACCTACAAAAGATTGGAATTTGGATTAAGGTGCCTTAAAATCAAGATGAGTTTGGGTAGGGAGGCAAAAAGTTTGAGGGAGTAGATTGATTGGTCCCAATTAAAAATATATTAATAGTTGCCCTAGCCGGTTTGGTTCAGTGGATAGCGTGTCAACCTGCGCACTGAAGGGTCCCAGGTTCGATTCTGGTCAAGGGCACATGCCCAGGTTGTGGGCTCAATCCCCCAGTAGGGGGGGCATGCAGGAGACAGCCAATCAATGATTCTCTCTCATCCTTGATGTTTCTATCTCTCTCCCTCTCTCTTTCTCTCTGAAATCAATAAAAATATGTTTTAAAATATTAATAGTTATCTGGATTTAATCTAGAGATAATAGAAAAAATATTTTAGGAAGAGAAAGTGTTTTGAATCTGCTTTAAAGCAGGACATTTTTGTGTATGTTAAGGTTTGAAAATAGTGTTTACTGTGCAGCCCTTTCAGATGAAAGATCCCAGGCTTGATGTGGTAAGGTTTGTTCTCGGGATGTGGTTGCAGATGATAAAGCTTTTAGCCACTCACTGGTGTGCTCCAGTGCAGTAGCTTTGACACACTTTTGACTATGAGAAATATATTTTATATTATGGTACAGTATTCATACGTGTATCTATATAGCTTTAAAAATTTTGTAAAATAATATTTCCTCTTATTATGTATGGTACATTTTAGTTTATCTTGGAGAGGTTACTAATGTCTTTGGGTAGGGAGATGGTGCTCTTAATATCGGAATGCACATGTCTAAAGTTATTTATTTTTATCTAACAAAAGGAATATATATTAGTTTTGTGCAGGTATTATTACAAGGACTTGACAAATATTTTAACCATATACGGCAAATGTTATTATCTGTTTATTATAAAGAGGAATTGAGACATGGAGAGAGGTTCAGTGACTTGCCTAAAGCCATACAGCTAGTAAATAGTGGAGCTGCATTTGAACTCTAGCAGTTTGACTCTAAGGATGTTGAACACTCTTGCAATGATATATGCCAATCTTACTGTATTATAATCAGTGTACAATGTTTGGAACAATTGGTCAGATTTAGAGTTCTTCAATCTATGCCACAGTAAACTTAATTGGTTCACATGGGGGTAGATCCAGCAGTGCCAGTCTTATTAGCATCTTATCTAACTGCTTCTACTAGCTTGTTTGTTCACTTGTTAAATTTGTTTTTAATTAAATAAATAATACAATGCCAATTATAAAACAAAGTCACCTAATATGAAAATATGTAAAATAGTGCAAGTCTCTTTTCCTCCTCATTCCTTAATTCTATTCTGCCCCCAAAGATATTAGTGTTGACTATTAGATGTTTAATTTTTTTAGACAAAGGCCTAAATGAAAGAATACTATGTGTATATACAAACCTACACCCAGAAGTTGTTTTTAAGATACAAATGAAAGTATGTGAAGCCATTTTTGTGACTTGTTTGTTTGTACTTAATATATCATTTATTTTTCACATGACAGATGAATCATTTTTTACTTTGCCAGCCTCTGATCATGTACAATTGTCTATTAACAGTATTTTGCTATTGTAAACAATATTAAAGTAAACATCCTAGTTTGACTGCTGTTCAAATCTCAGACTTTGCTGTCAGAACACCTGGGTTTGAATCCTCATGCCACCTCTGTGACCTTAAGTTCCTTAACCTCTCTGGTCCTTGGTTTCCTTATCTACAAAATGAAAATGATAATAACAGACCTAATATTATAGGGTTGTTGTGAACATGAAGTGAATTGATGTATGTAAAGCTCTTAGAACCATGTTTGGCACATAGCTAATATTTACCCAGTACTATCATTTTTTTATTGCAACTTTCTGTGTGTGTGTATAATTATATCCTTCCTATATAATAAAAGCCTAACATGCAACTTGTCCCCTCAACTGGGAGTTCAACCACTTGCTATGACATGCGCTGACCACCAGGGGGTGGCGCGGAACATGGAGGGCATCGGCTATGTGGCACTGGCAGTGGGAGGCATTGAAGGTGCTGCCTGCCCTGATGGGCCCCTATGAGAGTGGGACTGCGGCGGGATGGTGGAGCAGGTGAGTGGGTGGCTCCAGGCCAAGGCAGGTACGAGCAGGGGCCCAGTCGTCCTGCAGACAGCAACCAGCAGTGGCGGGAGGGGGCCAGGGAGCAGGACTGCTGCCCAGCTCCCAGGCACTGAGGGAGCTGGGCGGGGGACCCAGCCCCAACTATCGCCCTGCAGATGGCAACCAGTGGCCGGCAGGCCCTGATTGCCCGATTGGGGCCGGGCCCCGGGCTGGGACGGGGAACTGGGGGTGGGTGGCAGTGACCAACCTCCTGTGGCCCCTGGGTAGGGGACTGCAACCTCTCCCTGGCTACCGGGGGCGGGGTGATGGGGATGGAGGTGTGGTGGGAATGCGGGGTGTCCACCAAGCTTGCTCTCACTCCCCCTGCTACCCTACCCTGGTATGCCAGGGCTTGGGTGCCAGGGAAGCCACCACGCTCAGATGCCGGGCGCCCGTGAGGAGCCCATCCCACACCCATGTGGCCTCTTCCAGGTGAGCCAGGCCACAGCCATTGGGACCGCAGGGGCCAGTTGAGCTCCCTGTGGGTTCATGCAGGAGCCGGTCTGTGAGGCCAGCCAGGAGAGAGTGCGCTGCCTGCCTGGCTTCTGTGCAGCACTGCTGGGCAACCCAGAGGTCCACACTGCGCCCCACCTGCGGCATCTGGCCGTGCTCACCACATCTCCATGTGAGGACTCAGGTGCTATGGTGCCGTAACTCAGGCGGAGGGGGGTGCATGGGGCCCACGTTCTGCCCAGGGCCCAGAGGTCAGCTGGGACCTGCCCTTTGATCACCAGCCAGGCCTAGGGACCGCATCATGCACAAATTTCATGCACTGGGCCTCTAGTAATAGTATAAAGTTGTTGCAACACTTATATGACTATTTCTAAAGGATTTCTGAAAGTAGATTTACTAAGTTTACTAAAAGCATAAACATATTATCAAATAATTCTTTCAAAAGGCTATATCAATTTCTACTACCACCAATAGTATATTTCCTAAACCATCGCTATCAGAATTTTCTTTTTGGTCAGTCTTTTTTTGGTAATAATTACAGTTTATTATTTTAATTTGCATTTCCTTGACTACTAGCAGTGAGGTTGTTGAATTGTTAATTATAAGTACTTTTCATTTGAATTTCCTTAAAATTACTTACTAATATCCTTTTGCCCAGTAATTTTTTATATATTATGGCTATTATATCAGTATTCGTTGTCTTCTAACTAATTCAGTATTCATTGTCTTCTAACTAATTCATTGTACAGGCAATGATTAACTCTTTTTGTGACATGAGGCTGATATTTTGTCCCTACCATTTTTTAACATACCTTTTGCCCTGTAGAAATTTTAAATATTTATGGTATAAAATTTACCATTTTTGATGTCTACTAAACTTTCCTCACCCTTTAAATTATTAGTCTCTTAATATTTTCTTCTAGCATATCTTTTGTGTTTTATTTCTCAGTTCAGATGAAATCTACTTCTATAGGATTCTAGAGGCCCGGTGCACAAAATTTGTGCATGGGTAAGGGTCCCTAGGCCTGGCCGGCGATCAGGGCTGATTGGGGCCTTCCGGCTAGGGCCTCCCTTCCCTGGCTGCTGGCTGCTGACGGGGCCTCTCTTCCCTGGCTGCCAGCTGCTGACCGGGGCCTTCCTTCGTTCCATGCTGTCCCCTGGTGGTCAGTGTATGTCATAGTGAGCAATCAAACTCACGGTCTCCTGGTCGAACTCCCGAGGGGACACTTTGTATATTAGGCTTTTATATATACAGAGAAGATACAGGGATCTGAAGACTCTCCCACAAATGGAGATATTGGCCCTTCACCATTTATTGAATGTTTTGTGATTTTCACACTTAGGCTGCCACCTTTGTTATATACTAAACTAGAGGCCCAGTGTACAAATTTGTGC